CTGTTGTGTGTGGGTGTGTCTGCGGTGCACGCAGAGGCCAGCTAGCTGGCAAAAACTTTTTATACTTCTCATTGTGCCTGTACTCCCTGCTGGCAGTACTGCTCTCTCCCTGGCTTACTGTTGCTGCATGCCCCGCTCTGACCAGCGATCATAATAATTATTATTATGCCAACTTGACCTGAGTATTTATCTGCTTGACCTGATTTTTGACCTGATATTTACTGGTGATACATGTACTTCTAAGTACTTTTCTTTCATCTGACCAAGTGTGCTGTGTAGGAAGTAACACATATTAGGGGCCGTCCGTGAATGTCCAATTTTTTCTCCAAACAAATTATTTAGTTTGGACCCAACCCCCCTCCCCCTAAGAACGTAAACTATGTTGACACAATACATGCAAAAGTCTCAACTGTGTCACTGCTCCTTTGGCCGTGTACATGTATCAATGTTTTCTGAAACGAAATTGGTCAACCCTGCCCCCTCCCACCCCATAACGAAATTATTTCGTTTTGTGAAAACTTTGATATTAAATACCATTATGTCTCACCGTCCAGGAGCGACACTGACTCACGCTGCTATCTGGTGTTCACGAGGTGTTTGTCGCGCTGGAAACGGAGCGTCTCTATAAGTTTGTATCCCTGGTGATGTTTGTGCCTGGAGAGCACTATATTATAAGTAGTGCTCCTCAGGCACAATCTTCCTCAGCCTACTCAAGCTCAACTGATGAGGGGTGAATTCCCCGAAACACTGTGTATCTAGCAGGGAGTGGTGTTTTCTTGCAGGTTTGCCGAGTCGAAGGTTCGATGGACTTCTCGTGTGCTCTGGATGGCAGTCGTGAGTCAGTCAAATGTCAAGTAAAGTCGGCGGAATAGCGCGAGCTCCGGTGTGGGGAGCAAACCCTTTTCTTATCAAATACCAGGTATTTTTAAAATAGAAATCACATCGAAACGAGTTATGAAGCAACTATCCACCTGAGGTCACCCAAAAGGGTGAAAGTCGTACTCATCGCATGCACATGCGTCGTACGAAAAGTCAACAAGACTCAAGAGTATCTCGGTCCACGTGTGGGCGTACCACAAGGTGTACAACAAATGATTTTTACCCGCCATATACATGTACCCACAAAGGTCACATTTGGATAGGTCAACCCTGGCCTGCTGGCCCAGAGCTACCGGTATACGCGCGGTAGGTGGGTTGACCGGATCCGGATCCGACCAATCAAAAGGGATCAGGGAGTGAATCCAGTGGCGGATCCGGATCCTGAATCGATCCTACCAATCGAACATGCCCTTATAGGCAAAATCAAACCTGTAAAATAAAAATCAGGTTAAAAAACTCTGGGTTCAAGGGCTGACAGTGCAGATAGCATGGAGGTGGCAGGTCCGCGACCAGCACCGAACTGCTGATTGTTACTGGGGAGGTTAAGTCCCACGTAACGAATACAGGAACGTGGGTGATACACGTAAAGTTCATGCAATGGACCCACGTTCGCAATGTTGTGTTTAGTCACACGGAAAAAACAAAAGCATGAAGCGACAGGCCCAAACTTGGTCAAAGAAGAAGCTTCGAAGCTCATCGAATATTAAAATTTTTGAATCCGTGCTTCGGAAACTTCTTTTTTTTTTAAAGCTAAGCACCCTCTCAGCTCGCATAATGCGCTCCATTCTGATTTTCACCCAGGTTCCGCTCCATACACGGTATGTCGTGAATCAGAAAACGCCTGTACGTTGGTCTAAACCCGAGTCCCTACTGAGAGGACTAGTAGACATACACTATAGTGCTTACAAGGCCGATCGCAGGGGCGTAGGTGGTCCCCCTTTTAGGGGGGGGGGGGTGCACGGCCGCATATGCGTAGGATGGTTGGTGCATGTCATTCGTGGTCATTATGTACATGCTGAACCTAGGTCGACATCTTTAGGGGGTGCACATGCTCCCTCCCCCACCCCCCCCCCCCCTGTACCCCATGCAGGCTACGCCGCGGCCTTGGTCGGCATGCATACATGCACAGCAAGGATACTGGAATATCAATCTTCCACGTGTGACACACTGACTAAATTTTAAAATGAACAACAGTTACTGCAAGTCATTCAACACTAATATCTGTGCCTGCAGGCTGAGGACAAGCAATACCTTAAAAATCAAGTTCCGTGAATCAAGCTCAAGTGCTGGCAAAAGCCAGAAGAATTATCCAGCCTCCACTGTTCCAGCTATCGGTATAGCGCTGCGGAGTGTGATTAGGCCTGGGCGGATAATGCTAGCATTCTAAGTAGCATTATAGTGTGCGATTTGCAACGAGCATTATTCTAGCATTATTTATAACACTACATTTCCACAAAACTGGCATTATACTCAAATGGCCCTTACATCTGCGAAAACCAGGCTAGGGTAAAAATCATTTTTTTTTTAGAAAAATGATGTTTTGTAAAACGGCTGTGTCGCGTGGACGCTCGAGTGCATGCGGAACCAAAGTCTTTGAAAGAGAACATCGCTTGTAGTAAGTTGTACAGTTTGAAGAAGTAGCAGTCATGGCAGAAAGGGTTTCAGCAGTCAGAGACGTCAAAAAATATTCCCTGCTACTCCTCTACTCTAGTCACAAGGAAGAGGTTTTGAGCTGATCGAACGGATTCCATCTCCTACACTCAGGGATAGCGAAATTTCTGCGCTAGCTGCTGCTTGCGGAAAATGGTGAAGAAATCGTCTCCAGTTAGAGTCGTGATGGCGATAGCGAGGAGAACCTGGACGACATCGATGCAGCCAATCGATTTACGGAGATACTAGCAGTTTCTGGGCCTCACACAAAGGGAACACGCGCAGCAGAGCTCATAGTATACATACGTTTGCAGCAAGTTCACGAGGAAAAAGGCTTGAAGCGCAGTGTGAAAACTGTTTTGAATCGAAGTCCTTGGCGATGAAGTGCTACTGAATGCCAGGCGAATGAGCGAACAGATCGAGAGGCCTCCACTCGAGACATTCCTCGCTGGACAGCTAGCTGCAAGGGCCCGGATTGTATGGAGCAATAGCAGCATAAAATTAGCATTATGATCATGATTTTCTAGCATTTTCCATGCCGTCTACGTAGGACTACGAAACGTGCATGCACAGTACTGCCGACCATGCATATTGCATTATTGGGTCGTGTTGAGGCAGTGACCAGCGCTGTAGCGTGTAGATCTACTACATGTAGTACTACTACTGGTTACCCACGGCTAGCGCTGCATGGCCAGTGCCCTGGGGCCGCTAGACGTGCGACCGGATTTCCGTGTCCACGACAGTAGGTATGGTCAGATCCTGTACGGCTCTAGCTCGAGCACGACCAGAGTAGATCTACAGTAGTAGACCTGGTAGACACCAGAGACAGAGTGTGTCTACATGTGGTTTAGCAGGGCAGGCCAGCTATCCTTGTGTAAACTTTTTATCTGTGAAAGGGATGAGCAAAGCACAAACTGACAAAGTATAAAAGAACCAGTGGCCAACAAGAACTGGCAACAGAAGTTTATGTATGCATAGTCGTCGTGGAGTAGGCATTTCCCAGATCGCCCTTTCGCAAAAAGTGCATGTGTGACCCAGGCCTTGGCCGCGGGAACGCATGCACCTTTTTGGCGGCGCCGCCAAAGCGGTACTTATGCCTGGTTCACACTACATGTAGGCCGATTTCCCGGCCGACATGGACTCGTACGAAAATTTCCTGGTGTGGACAGTGTTGTCGTACAGGTTTCCGACAGATCTGAGGCGTTTTTCTTGTCGTACTAGTTTTCGGCCAAGTATCGACTGGTTGATATTTAGCCGAAAAGCCAGCCGATTTTTAGTCCTTGCACGTGATGGAGCGGGCATCGGACCAATCACTCTAGGCGTTTCACCATGACAGCGGAGAGCGTCGATGCAGACCGTGAACTGGCTGCACTGGATTGCTAACTGTTGCTACTAGTACTACATTCCAGCCTTTTCACGCCTTTGGCCTTGTAGCTCGTGTAAACACTATTACATTTCCGTTGTCTAGCTCTACTACGATCTAGTGTGGCTGTGTACCGCGTGTACATGTGTAACATACAAGCCTACAACTATAGTTCAAGCAAAATTGCCCACCGTTCCGTGTGAACAGCTAGTCCGACTCATCCGACACAGTCGGTCGGAGTCGATGTGGGAGCGTCGGCCGTAAAATCGGCCTAGTGTGAACCAGGCTTAAAGAGGAAGTGCATCGATTTTTCGAGTAGGGTCCAGAGGAAACACAATTTGATATCGGTTCGAATGGCATATCTCTCGCTTCCATACGATAAGCCAAACTTGCCAAATCGCCAATTGTATGCTCACGTTGCCATAGAGACCAGCGCAGTGATGACGTATGAAAGGCATAGCTCCTCAACAGAGAAGGTCGATCACTGCAGAAATTGAGAAAGGAAAAGGACATATGGATACGAGTTAAGAGTAACTCTCAATCACTGTAACTGGATACTACATGTATAATAGAGTCAGAAAGTGCAATAACTAGGCACAAAACTGACAAGAGTGCCTAGTTATTGCCCTTCCTGACTGTATATAGTATCCAGTTACAGTGATGGAGAGTTACTCTTAACTCGTATCCATATGTCCTTTTCCTTTCTGCATTTATTTATGGCTCAACAGCCGAGTTTCAAACTGCAGAAATTGGTCATTTTAAATTGTTTTATTGCATTCACGATGTGAAAGAAGTGCTGTGTGAACTGCCTGAAAAGAGAAAAAAACGCCAGACCCACCAGGCGCCAGGACTCGAACCGGTCCTGGTGGGTCTGGCGGTTTTTTCTCTTTTCAGACAGTTCACTTCCCCAAATGATCCTTTGAATTTGAAGTTCTCCCAATCCTTTCAAAAATTTATCACTCTCTTTCACTTCTAGTAGAGTCCAGAAACTGACCGTGGTTGGTCCCCAAGGGGAGGGAGAAAGACCCAAGTGCCATCAATATGTGTGGCACGTGTAGTGAGCTGCCTTTGGAGTGAAAAACTTGTCAGCGCCTTCTAGGTTCAGCCCGGTCCCATAGCTCAGTTGGGAGAGCATTGCTCTTGACAAGCAAGGTCCCGGGTTCGAGTCCTGGTGGGTCTGGCGTGTTTTTTCTCTGTTGAGGCAGTTCACTTCCCCAACTGATCCTTTGAATTTAAAGTTCTCCCAATCCGTTCAAAACAATATCACCCTCTTTCACTTCTGGTAGGGTCTAGAAACTGACCGTGATTGGTCCCCTGGGGGAGGGAGAAAGACCCAAGTGCCATCAGTATGTGTGGCAAATGTTGTGAGCTGCCTTTGGAGTGAAAAACTTATCAGCGCCTTCTAGGTTCAGCCCTGTCCCATAGCTCAGTGGTTAGAGCATTGCTCATGACAAGCAAGGTCCCGGGTTCGAGTCCTGGTGGGTCTGGCGGTTTTTCTCTTTTCAGGCAGTTCACTTCCCGAACTGATCCTTTGAATTTCGAAGTTCTCCCAATCCTATCAGAAATAATATAATTATGAATAGTGGTTGCGACTTCGGCGATAATATTTTAGGAATGGATTTGCTGGCTAGCTGGTTTGGAGGTGACAGCGTTCTGAATGACCGAGGGTCTTCTACGTCTGCTCTCACCCTCCAAGAGCGACACTGACTCACGCTGCTATTTGGTGTTCACGAGGTGTTCGTCGCGCTGCAAACGGAGCGTCTCTGTAAGTTTGTGTCCCTGGTGATATTTGTGCCTGGAGAGCACTATTATACGTCCTGCTCTTCAGGCGCAATCTTCCTCAGCCTACTCAAACTCAACTGATGGGGTGAATTCCCCGAAACACTGTGTATTGAGCAGGGAGTGTTGCCTTCTTGCAGGTTCGCCGAGTCGAACGTTCGATGGACTTCTCTTGTGCTCTGGATGGCAGTCGTGGGTCAGTCAAGTGTCAAGTCAAGTCGGCGGAATAGCGCGAGCCACAGTGTGGGAGCAAATCTATTCCTAATACAATTATGTACAACCAAATATTGTTATACAGTTCAGCACAATGTTTTAGCGTGAGTGCAGTTTGGGGACGGACTCTCATCTTTTTTTGTCATAGTCCCACCACTCACCATTACTATGCTCCCACTATGCAATTGTTTGTCTTTGCCTGTGAGCTGTGATCATTGTAAAAAAAAAAATATCCACACCTTAAACGCGTGTGAGTGTGGGTATGATTCGGAGTGTGAGCTGGTGTGAGCGTATGTGTGTTGGTGCAAGTGCGTGTAGGAGTGTGTGTCTGATTGTTTTGGCATGTGCATGGGTATGTGTGTGTGCATGTGCGGGAAGGAGGGTGCAATTTTATCACGTTTGGTGTAGTTTCGTTCCACATTGTGTTGCCTGATATTGGTCCACCTCACTTGTCTTTCTTCTCAATCCTTGCGATAGCCGAGCTGATGGTTGAGAATTTGACTGAGATAATGTAATTTGCAGCAAAGAGACCAGTTAATTTGAAGAAGGTGTGTGTACAGTTTTTCAAGTGATGAAGTGGCTGTAGTGGAGCTTGCCCACATTAACACAAAACCAAAATTATTATATACATTGTAGAACAAAACTAAATATCAGTAGTGACGACACCATACATTAAATAAAAATTATATACATGTTATGCCACAGAAGCGGGCCATTGTCCGGGACATGATTAGAGCGCAGCAGTGTGGGGTGGTGGATGATTACGGAAGATTAAAAAATCAGCGAATAACGTACATTGTACATTGTTTCCGAAATTGGTGCTGGGCGTGCGTTGGGCTATTTTACTCCTCTACTCCTAAGTATGCGTCCATAATATTTACAACTTGAGCAGAAGTCCAAGTCATATAGATAATATCCTAATAGATGTACCGGGGTGAGACATACGAACCATCAAGATTGGCTTCTTACTGGCGCGTGTAATCATTGGACAAGTGCTCAATGCTATAGGTAATCAGTGACTCACGAGAGCGTGATACATGATTTTATCGCCTTCTTAGTATTTGACCCCACTAATTTCCCTGATACCTAAGCGGTCAAATATATCGCGTATTTGACTGCTTAGTCAAATACACGAAATATTTGACTACTTATATTTGACTCCTTAGAACTTCTTGGACTTAGAAATTTTCTCTCCAACTTAGAAAAAGAAATTTTTGAAGAAAGCAGAAATACACAAGATGGGATTTGAACCCACAACCTTGTGAATCTCAGTCACTCTTCCTTACCACCCAGCCACTGTGCTACCGATGCTGAACCTAGTTTAAACAATGATGTTGACCTGCAATGCAGAACAATGCGGTATAGGCTATAGTATAATACTAGAAATACAAGGATATGTCGTATATGAAGAGAAACTATTGCGTGGAGAACACGATAAGTATAGATTATAGACCGGTTAGGAGGTCTATACAGGATATATAGACCTCGTAAAAGACCGAGGTCCCCCGAGGTCTTTTACGAGGTCTATATATCCTGTATAGACCAACTATGAGGTCTATAATCTATTTATCGTGTTCTCCACGCAATAGTTTCTCTTCATATACGACATATCCTTGTATTTCTAGTATTATACTATAGCCTATACCGCATTGTTCTGCATTGCAGGTCAACATCATTGTTTAAACTAGGTTCAGCATCGGTAGCACAGTGGCTGGGTGGTAAGGAAGAGTGACTGAGATTCACAAGGTTGTGGGTTCAAATCCCATCTTGTGTATTTCTGCTTTCTTCAAAAATTTCTTTTTCTAAGTTGGAGAGAAAATTTCTAAGTCCAAGAAGTTCTAAGGAGTCAAATATAAGTAGTCAAATATTTCGTGTATTTGACTAAGCAGTCAAATACGCGATATATTTGACCGCTTAGGTATCAGGGAAATTAGTGGGGTCAAATACTAAGAAGGCGATAAATAGATTATAGACCTCATAGTTGGTCTATACAGGATATATAGACCTCGTAAAAGACCTCGGGGGACCTCGGTCTTTTACTCGGTCTATATATCCTGTATAGACCTCCTAACCGGTCTATAATCTATACGTATTGTCTCACCAGTACAGCATCCAGAAATAGGAGTTGAGGAGGAGCTCTTTTTAGCGGAGGATGCAAGTATCATTTTCATGTTTTGGTCACTCTGTCCACAGTCCCACGTAAACCCTATGTCTCCAATAGAACCCGGGAATGGATTAACTACTAGAGTTTTCACCAACACGCCACCGATTCTTACAATTGTTATCCTATTCCAAAGGTGATATTTTGCACATCTTCCTTATACTGTTTTAAAAGTCGTAAGTGGTGCACCAACATGGCGCTGGACGTATGTATGACGGTGGTATCGCTCAGCTCACATACTCTGGTCATATTCCTCTCAGTGACGTTAAAAGGAAATCCTCACATCCTCTAAGCTATGTTGTTCTCAGCGACGTATAATACATGGTCAGTTTTAGAATTGAGAAATAGAGAGAATCAGAGTTGCAACTGAACTCTACTGAAAGAATATCTATTCAGAACCTGCTGGCTTTGTTCGTGAATTTATTGCTTTCTCCCCTACCATCCCCCCCCCCCCCACACACACACAAAGCATACTGGCTTCAAAATTGGAGAAATGTTGGAAGTTTTGGAAGGGTTTCGGCGATTCTCAAAGGAATTCTCCAAAATTGTCGAAAGCTTAGCGATTTTTCGATAAACAGTTTCCTCTGAGACAAAAATGCGATAATACTCATAAAAAGGACACACTTCAGGCTCATTACAAACATCTTGAAAGTTTTGTCTTCACAAGTATACTTTCAAGCCTTCTCATCAGGTGAAATACAGGCAAGGGAAAAGGAACAGGAACAGTGGATTAAATACAGTAAGAAGGTAGTGAAACAGCGCAAAAAAAGAAAGAAAGAAGATAGCTAAAGTAAACAGCGAAAATTGCAATAATGACACAAAGGTGCAAATGCGAGAAAACTCAATAACCGCGACATGTACTGCGACAACAAGAGACAACCACTGGACAGACATGTATTTAATCCACTGTTCCTGTTCCTTTTCCCTTGCCTGTATTTCACCTGATGAGAAGGCTTCAAAGTATACTTGTGAAGACAAAAACTTTCAAGATGTTTGTAATGAGCCTGAAGTGTGTCCTTTTTATGAGTATTATCGAATTTTCGATAAATCACGTTTTTGGCGAATTTTTCGGCTTGCGGGTATATGGATTTTACTAGTAACGATCTTCCTGATGGCTAGTGGTTGTTTGAGAGGAGGTTAAAGAACACGAGTCACATGACTTCAACGCACTACAAGTACTGAAATAGAGAGCTCGAGCGGTAGGCATATGGTGTCAAGATACGTGACGTCACCACATCCCCTACGCCCTTGGATCCCCATCACCACACACACTTCGCATTAATACTAGCAGGATGCAGTCATGATGGATCTGTTTTCTGAGAGGGTGAAGTGCAGCGCGAGCTGGCATAGATGCATAACGCACTCAAACTCACCTAGATCTACGTGATTCAGCCACTAGACATGAGTGACCATACTGTGCACGTACGTGGGAGGCTCTCAGCAGTCAGCACAGTCCACGCTTACTTGTCATGTAAGAATAATGATAATAACGGGGTCGCACCCTGTAATAATAACGGGGCTGTTAATTTTATAGTGTGACGTCAATGGGTCCTCGGATACGCGTGGCAACGCAGAGCACAATGGATAAACAACAATGGCGGGGCCCAGCGGGATACGGTGATCTTGCTCCTTTCTATGGCTTGCACGTACATGTACGCTCAGATTCTAAGTGTCGCGGATCATGAAGCCCTTTCGAATTTCACGTGCTTCACCCACGCCAACAACCTGGTATAAAGGTGAGCGCGGGAACTAGCATTCTCTCAGTTACGTTACACAAGTCAGTAGTGAAGAAGAAATCGGTTCCGTTTGGTTTTGATTCAATACTTTGTGTTTTATAACGACTTGTTTCTGAACGCAGACCTCTAGAACCAGGTGACAGAGTGCTATATTGTCGGTTCAAGGTGAAAGAAGAATTTTGCTTTCTGGATTCTCGCCTCCAGTTCTGGTGGATTGTGGTGCTTTCCAGGCAATCTGCATTTATTGACATTGTTCAAAATGCCTCAACACAGTCGCCGAAAACCGTTCAG